GTAGAAAAATTGCATTTTTTTATCGAATATTTTCAAAGAATACGGAATAGTTATAATCTACAATCGACCAGGACGTGGCGGGTCGATAATAGATCCAGAAATTATACTTAATTAAAAGTAACTTACAGCATATCGTGGGGTATCTGTGGATGCTTGCATAGGGTCTTGTTCGAAGCGACAAGTATTGAATAAGCATCATATGCAAGGTTCCCTCTATCAGGTGCGCAAATGCGCAATTGCGCAGTACCTCCAGACATTTTGCGCAGTAAAATCCCATTCTCGCGCACTTGCAACAATATGTTTTCAACGCGTGGGTCATGGGTCGTCATATTTTCAACGCCCATATTAAGGCTTAGAATGCCCATATTTGTTTCACGCGTATTTAGACGCCACTGTTCATTGTGATGTCACAAGCGTGTCTATTAGAAGCACTGGATTCGTGTTGTCGCACAGGTATAATTGGTTCGTTTTCTGTATCGAAGTGAACATAAAAAATATATGGACTGTTTGGATTTAAATAGGTATATGAGGTTGCAAAGCTGGTGTCCACTTTTGTTACAGAAGGTTTGTTTGTAGCGGCATAGTTAGGCTAGACTGGTTGGAATTTAATTGGAAGTGTTATATATTAATTACCGTATGTTTACCAGAAATTACGAAAAAAAGTTTCAGGCGTTTTCATATTTAGCAGGTCACTGGGATAGGTGGTTTATTATTTAACCAAATTCAATATACTGTCGTTTTGATCTTACGTGCAAGTAAAATGTCTATTCAAGAAAGCAAGGACAAAAATAAGAATATTGATTTTAATAGAATGGTTAAATACAACAGTGGACTGGAAGACACTAATTTGAAATCGTGATACCGGTATGCATAGGTTAAAAAACAAACTGCCAAACTTTCCGAAATTCATCACTATTCCGCGTCAAGGAATGTGATAATATGTAGAGTTTGTCAGGATGTGGCACCTGGTAGCGATTTAGAAAAGGCAAATCATTGGTAGGAATGGGAAGTTGACTATCTAAAACAGGTTCATCCAACCCGTGGCCCGCCGAAGATTTCCGAGTGGCCCGCGCGGTATTATTCGAAGCCCGATGTCTTTCACAAATCTGAGCCACTATTGAAACCTCTAATAAAATAGTATTCCTCGTCGTACAAACGCGCGAGAAGCACCACCCAGCTATCGAAAGCTTTTTATGTCTCTTTGTGCTGGGCGTTATTGCAGGAGAGAGATACTTGAAATTATTTTTATCGTCTGCCATGTATTTCAATCTGTTTTTCAGCTTGTTTTCTGTGAAGCTAGACGAAGCAGTTTTCCTGGCTTCAATAACTGACAGCAATTTCATGTACGAGAAAGTTTTTTCACGAATGAACCATGTCAAATCCCCCGTGAGATTACTAATTTTTGACAGTCATTTGAAAAATTCTCTTCGCATTGCTACATTGTCCATCGCACCGAATATTGACAAACTTGTTGGATAAAAGCAGTGCCATTGAAATATCTATGTGTGGTAAAAACTTTTGACTTTACTGTATTCTTCGTATTTTCATTGTTCTTATAATTTTAGTGTGAGGGTTTTGTTTGTTTTTTCATTAACCTGTAGTCGGCGTAGTGAAAACTATAATATACCCACCATGTTAAGTGACCCACGTAGTCATTCGTAAACTACCTGTGGCCCTTCGGCCATAAAGGTTGGACAACCCTAATCTAAAATGTCATTTGGATTTTGGATCATAAAAAGCACATTGACGCACTAGGTGCATTAACTCAGAAGCGAAATTTTGAATCAATGAGGACTGGGGAGTAGTTTGAACCTTTTCACCACATTGCCAATTGCTGAAGAGAGTGAAGTTTTGAAAACTCAAGTGAAATAAAGCCTCTCATAGATAGTGTTATACCACGTGTATACCACGCGTATGTGAAAATATACTGAATTGCCACATTCATAGCGAAGCAAAAATTACGGCTATAATTTCATATCCTTATTGTTGATGAAAGCAATGATTTTTCAACAACAAAATGCTGATATTGTACACGAAGTAATGTTTATTTACGCAGTACGATATTATATGATAAAATTATACCATTTCACAAAGTTTGCAAATATTTTAGGATTCTGCTCAGCCTAAAATAGTCTTGCTCAATAAAAACAACATTTGCGCAGTGTGAAATTTTCTTAGAGGGAACACTGATCATATGAAAAAAAATAAATCATCTGATTTTGTTATAATCGCTTTATGTTTGATCAGCGTGATTTTTCCTGTTGTTCACACCATGACGTCGGTAGAATATCTTTCTGCCAATTACTTTTTTTCTCAATAATGTAGCATATTAAATATTGTCTAGAATAAAATTTATTTAGATTATTATATGGCTGTAGTGGTAAAAGGTTAATGCGACAAACAGCATGTTCCATCATTTTTTTGTTGTTTCGCTATTTTCTTACGTCACTTAGGCATGTGATTCCTAATAACGGTTCTATTACATTTGAACCCACGTACATTTGAACCCATGGCAATTGCACCTGTATGCTATTGCACCTATGGAATATTTTTTGTTTTTCGGATAGTGGAACCCACACCAACCCTAACCCATGGGTTTTAGCACCCGCATATAGACTGAACCCGTGGATATACACATGGGTTCAAAGGCACGTGGGTTCAAATGTACGGTCACCCCTAATAACGAATAAAAAAGCATCTTCATTTTGCGGTCTCCTCCACCCTCTTTGTTTCTTTATTATAATCACACTTTTTTCTTGCCACGTCAAAATTTATCTGCGTTCAGGCGGTCTTTTCAAATTCGACGCCGCCAGGGAGCACTGATTTCATGTTTGGGAATTTTTAGGTTTAATGGTTTATGTGCATACTTGTGTCGTTATTTTTTTCATAATCCAACGCTTGTATCTTCAGCCATTTTTCATAGCTATACTAATGCAGTTAAACTAAGCTTTGGCCTACAATTATTGATTCAAATGTCTACAAAGTGGAATTGAGATTACAAGATCTGAAATTGGTGAGATAATCTAAATCGGCAATGGTTATTAGAGATAATTTCATTCTTTCAGTTAGTTAGCCCATAGCGTAATACTGAATGATTCCTAGTGTGTAATTATTGAATCGAAGACGACGGCGCAAACAAATGGAGGCGATCGAGAACAATGAAATGTTCAAGTTAGAACAAGTACGAAACCTGAAACCATATTCAAATTTACGCTTTGGGTATATTCCCTATATACGAATTGCCCTATTCTTGCTTTTAGCTTGTGTTAGCTTTTATTCAACCTATATAGTTCATCTTAGCCATGTTACATATTTCAGACTTTCACCGTGAACGTAAACAAGCTGCCAATGTTGACATCGGAAACTGCCTGAGCGGAACAAAAACTACGGTTAAACAAATATTCATTAAATTATGGATTACATTTGGGCCATGATATAGCACTAAATTGAATTGAGAGTATTCTTGTGTTGAATCAAAGACCCCTGGGAAGATATGCCTGTGCAATGATGTTTGGACCATTTCATAAATAAGATCTACATCATTGATGAATTAAAAACTCAACAGAGATGCGGTTGTGTTGGGATGATATAGTAGAGGTGATATTATTTGCTTAATTTTTTCAAAATTGTTTCAACGGTCACTTCTTTTGTTGTTTATTATATCCAAAATTTTTTTTGTCATGTCAAGAATTTACGTGGGCCCAAGTAGCGTTTTCTTTTTCCATATCTTTCACAGGCATTAAACCTAGGTTTAAGCTACAATTGTTGAATCTGTAACGTAGAAAGTTGTGTTGCTGCTATGAATGTTCTTCTATCTACGTACTTATCCGATAGTCACGTCGACTACTTACGACTTTATATTAGACTTCTAGAATCTGGACTCCGATATAAAGCAATATAATATATTAATCCGAAAGTATACGTGTTCTATTGGGAATCCTTAAATGGCATATATGCGGGTTGCCCCCTATATTTCCTACCTTTCCTCCCTTTTTCTCCTTTCTGTCTGTGCTATTTTGGGTTGAGTTGGGTTATTTAAAGGCTTTTGGAATTTTTCCGTTTTGTGGATAAATTATCTATCTTTATTTATTACTTTTTCGGAAAGGTTCATTTATACCAATCCGAAACTAGTTCGTTTCGTTTTTGATAGGAGAAATTTTGGTTGAGCAATATTAATATTATTTCCGGTTTATATCATCGGCGCAGTAATTACGGTCAAATGTATTGTAAATATATAGCAAGATAGATTGGAATAGCATAGATTTCGTGGGAATGTCGATGATCTCATTGTTTTAAGAACATCTTGGGATATTTCATAGTTAATAAAACTTTATAAAAAAAACAATTTCTAAAATCAATTTATATTTAGAATATAAATATAACTGATACCAGTAGTGGGGAATGTCTACAACGTTCCTGCTTTGACCTTATATTGTTTGTTTAACAAGTGTGCTAACGCAATTGTTTGTTCTCTAAGACAGTGTTTCCCAAACTGTGCTCCGCCTCCGAAGTGTTCCGTGGAAAAGGAACCGAAAATACGTCTAAAATGATCGTCATAGCGATCTATGGAACGTGAAGTACCGGTAGTCGCCCAACTGACCGTTCGATATCGCGTCACCGTCGGCCTAAAGCGGACTAGCTATAGGGTAGGTTAGTGGCATTTTCGTTAACCGTCGGCCTAGCTATTTGACTGTTTAAGTTGATTGATTTGACTGTTCGTTATCAAGTTTACAACAATCTTTTTGGTTGTCATAGCCAAATACGTAGGTCTAAAGAGTGAAGGCATAAGGTCAAATTTTCTTCTTTTATCTGGTCTGCAGTTATCAGTCTTCCTATATTACCCTTAACATGAATCTGATTACATATATGGAGGTTTTATACTACTGGGCTCTTGCGCTGAGAAACGTATATTTGTTGTGAGTGCATTCAGATTTACATTTTGAATAGTCTTCCCAATTATTCGTCGTTTCGGCTGTTCGACAAATTCATTTATCCTAACGGCAATTAATAAATGATTTGGCTTCATTTACAGCTTTCTCGTTTCTTTGCAGGCAATTTATATGTTTTTTTACAGTTATATGTTTACTAATGCAGTTAGACTAATATTAGGCCTAAAATTATTGATCTGGGGTGGAATTGGATCACGAATTCTGGAATTGTTGGCATCGGGATCTGCTGGAGGAAATGCGGTTGAATGAATATTTATCCAGTTAAGTATGAAGTATTAGATTGATATTGATGACTGCGCATCTGCAGTCCGGGTTAAAGTCGTTTCATTATTTGTAACCTTCGTATTTTGTAAAACCAATACCCTTGTAAGATTTCTGTCAACCATTGCGAGTGTTTTTGTTAATGAAGGCAATAAGTAAGATAAAAATCTGTCATACGCAATAAGTAATTCACCCTTTGTATGTATGGCAGGTCCTATTTTTTTGTATTGTATGGCAATTAAAATTGCGAAGTTTTCAACTACTGGACTACCCTTGCAATTTTCTTTGCACGTGCAGACAAAAGCACGTGCAGACAAAAGTGGATAGGAGACAAATCTTCGGCATAGCTGGACATGGTAGCTACGAGTGAGTTTTTATCAACACAGTCATTAAATATAGCCCATGTGATGACTGATAGAGACGGGGTAATTACTTGTTATAGGTTTCAATATTATTGGACACGAACTGTATATATTATATCGTTATGTTAATATATTATTGGTGTTTCGTTCATGTTCATTTCCTTGTTAGTATCTTCTTTTTGTTTACATTTCAGAAATTTGAAATCGGTGATTGAATTTCTTCAAACGAAAAAGGAAACGTTTTCATTTGGGAAGCAAAAGGAGTGACTTTCCGATACGTCTCAAATATAAGAAAGTATGTAAGTAATTATATTTTTTTGCAATTCGAAAAATGATTTATTTTTAAAACAAACTTAAATTTTTTTTACTAATACTTAACGGGCATAATCAGAATGCGATGTTTGTGTTACCGAAATCGTAGGGTGCAATTAGTCCTTTGTATTCAGTGGAAACTGAAAACTGTTTATGGGTTTTATTTTGGTTCAGAAATTGGCAATCAGTGCTTGAAAGTATCCAATGTAAGTGAAAAACATGTGGAGCAAGATACGGCTTTCCGGCGTGTCTCAAGCATAAGCAAGGTAGGTTAACTTTTTATCATAGACTCTTTTAAATTTATTTCCTTCAACGTTCCGAAACGAGGAGAATTTTGCTCACTGTTTGCTGAAATACAGCTACTAATATTCTGTATTTATTTATTATTAATATTACTATAATGGATAATTATAACACACTTAAATTGTACAAAAGTGTGAGTGCGCATGATCCATCAAGTCAAAAAATAATGAAAAAGTTCCAAAATAGGCGAAGGGGAGTTTTAAAGATAAAGATTGGAACACTGCTCTAAAATTACTCTTATTCTTTGCAAGTGGCCGTGTTTCATAAATTTAATTGAATTCCCACTGAAATTAATTGCTATCATTTATTTCAAGCCGAAACATTCTCTATCTGTACCGGCATAGGCATCTATGTGTTAAGTGAAATTAAAATGAATGCAAAATAACATTGGCGAAGGTCATTTCGCTTTTGCTAGAATCATAAAGGCGTTTTTAATTGGGCTGGAATATTTCGGATTCGATAGTTTCTTAACTTGTATGTTATCATACAGGTTATGTCCTGATTACGAGTATAAGCGAATAAGGTGAAAGCGAATCTCACGAATCGAGAGTTTGTTGAAGTAAGTGTCTTTCCATATATATTTGTCTTTCCATATTTATCAGCGGAGAGGAAATGGGTAAGACGGCTTGATTACGTGGACACCACGGCTTCTCGTCCGGTGACCAGTCCATATCGTCTATCGGGATTAGTTAGTTATTATTAGTCTTGGATGCATGAACTCAATGGCGAAGTAATGACGGAACAGTTGTACGTAAATCACCTCCAGGAGTCCTAAAGGGAAACCAGGAGTCCAACAATCCTCTTCCACATAATTTAACCCCACATGATTCAAACATATACCAGAGTATTTAAAGATTCCCATGACTTACTCGTTATCATGTTGAAACCCTGCTGGAGACGCGCGCGTGCTTCAGCTTGAGGTCCACAATCATCAAATACTTCCTCCCTTTACCTATTTCTCTTTGTTATGCGTAAACAACTCTGGTTTCAGTTTTCTTCAGATTTATCAGATAGTTGCGCACAACTCGCTCTTTAGCGTTCAAGGTTTAGGTAGTTGTGTACTTCAATACCACGTACAATAACGCTAAATAAGTAAATTTTAAAGTACCGGTAAGTACTATCCACATAAAGAAGTTTCCTTCTCTAAAACAATAAAATAATGAAAAATATTTATAGTGCCAATCAGTTACCAGCACGTTCTTAGTCAAATGCGTTCTTCATTTTGAGTATTATCGTTTGTGAGTCTCGTGACGAAATTCGGTTAGTGGTCCATATTATTGTGTAGATTTGAATATATATATATATATATATGCTTTATTTCAAGGGTTGTCAAACTTTATTTTCTATTTCAGTCCTGTTTGTTCCCAATTTTGTAAATTGCTACAAGAACTTGGTGAAAAGGTGAAGAATGTATTAAATGTAGAAATATGCAATGTTTACATTAAAGCTCTTAGCTAGTTTGTAACTAACAAACATGGTCTACCTCCGTAGTTACACAAATCCTAAAGCTCGAAAATGCCCGCGGTGACAGATTTTACCAGTACCCCCAAATAAATACTTGATGATAGCGCGTATAAAACTCAAATATATACGATTGTCAAAATAAGTTCTTTGCCAGCGCTGCTTCCCCTCGCTACTCGTTTTGTTTTTCTTGGTGAGTTGAATCAAATTTTTGACCTTAAAATGCTTGATTGCTAACTTACCCCTGTTCACCGCCAGGGGCTAATTTTATCCTATAGACTGAGAACCCCAGTTTTTATTTCATAACTTATCCACAAGATGGATTAGAGAAATTGAATTGCGAATCAGTAGTTACTCATTGTCATTACCCAAGCATATAATATTCTTCAAACGAAACTCTATAGCAGTGGTTCTCAAACATTTTAAGCCGCGCCCCTTTTTAGAATTTCTCAAATTTCGCGCCCCACCTCAAAAATAACTTGCTAACAAGCTACAAATAACGGATAGTTAAACAAAAGTATGCTTTATTCAAAAATACATGTTCATATACGTAAAAGGAAAGTGAATATCCAAAATAAAGAAATGTAAATATCCCCGTGTGCACGATCGCCACTGCTCTTTACGATCAGCAACTATTCCTGTATTGGAGACCGATATCTAACTTTATTTTATCATGCAGATTCTGTCCGGATTGCGGAACAAGTGGATTGAGGCTATAACGGATCTCACAAATAATCTGTCCGTTCAAATTAGGTATTTTTATAATTGTGCATTGTTCCAGCTAGAATATTTGATAATATTGTTTTAGTCTTTTATAGCTGTGAAGTAGGGAGTGAAGTCGGGATGTCGTTTCATTTAATTAGCAGTCTTGTGTACTTGAAAGTGTTATTTAGGACGCATTTGACATTGTTGGGCGAAGTCTTAAAATCTAATAGTTCATTACCGGTTCGAAAGGTATTCCGTTTAGAGTTTTGGTAATATTGGTGAGCTAATATTCCAGTTGCGAAAACGCACTTCTTTGCCTCGTTCATTGCTGCCTTTTCCTCAATACACCACGGAATTAACTATAGTTACTGTTGCTATTTGCGGCATTAGGTACACAAACTTGCAGAAGAATTTACTCAAGTTGCCGGTCTGGAGTCTGAAATCGTTGAACATGAAGTGGACGTCAGATCGTTTTGTTATTATATTATTGTTATTATTGGGAATCTTTCTTGTTTCTGTGATGAAAAAAATCGACTTTCTATATTAACTAAAACATTCAAAATTAAAAATTGCGCACCCTGTGGCGTAGTCTACTGTGACAGATTGCATACTCGTACTACTTCGTTTTGGTTTTCGTGTCCCTATATTTGAGCATCGCTATCGTGATGTATCAAGTTGAAAGCTTGCTTTCGAATCTTATGAATTTTTGAGTTGAATTGTGCATGTCGATGTTTTTAGGATCTGTTTTTCATCGGTGGTGTGAAATGTAATACATAATCGCCCTGTGCTATGTTGAATCTGTTTTAATATTTCAGCTGCGTTCTGGTTGAAAAGATCAAAGGACAGTCAACAACCGGACACGTACGTTGAAGAACATTGGAATGAATTATCGTACCATCTTGATTTTATAAACAAGTGTATTTTTAATTTTTTATATAACCATCTTTCTACCCGAGTTTGCCGGATATCAAAGCTATCCAGTAGTAGCGTATCTGCGTGAAATGGCGCCCTAGTGACGTATCTGCGTGAAATGGCGCCTATGGAAATGTTTAAAATGCACCCTTTTGGGTGTTTTTAACTACGGGTTTTTGCTTTGGAATACTCTTTACGTTATTTCAGTAGTTTTTATCAAAATGAGGTTTTGCCCATTGTGCGCCCTTATCCTAATGGCGCCAGTGGCAGGGGCAGTGGCCCTCGTGCTACATATGTCTGCCACTGAGCCCAGGTATCGCCCAGAAATTCACAATTCTTCATTTCGTGTCTGATCATGGCAGCAAAGCTTGATATCTCAATGTTGTTCGCTTTTAAACAATCCGTCCTTGCATTCCCATTAATATCTCAACTTTATCCACCTCTTCTCATACTTTTTTTTTCCGAAGACTAGATGTAGACCTTTGTTCATTCTCTTGCTTGAATAATAATAAAATTATTGAAGCAATATCCATTCTCCATGCTTATTGGTTGTCGGGGACTGGGTTTTGTTAAAGACTAATAAAAATGGGAGTTGGAGCATAGGTAAGAAGTGTCTCAAAACCTCATTTTGACTGGTTTCTGCTGATTTTACACTAGGACGTCACAAGGTTATGACGTCACACTCGCTAGCCGCGATTTTATGGTGCTCCCTAGCGCCGGATCCAGGCCGAAACGGCGGGATGTTTTTTTATCTCTGGTCGATCGTAGGCCATAGATAAATCGAGTATAATCGCTGAAATTTATACACATTCCCGCATTGCATTTTGGGAATTGTGCAAAGGGCCGCGAACAGCTTTTGATATATTTTGATAATGTATACTTAATAGTATATTTTTAGATATGTGTAGTTTGTGACATATATTGTGATGCAATTAAATAGCCGAATAAGGTTTTGTTTTTCTGAAATTTCAAATGGCATTTACATATTAATTTCTTGGTATTTCACTATTATTGCAAATTTATTTTTTACAAAACTCAAAAGTTTTTTACAAATATCCAAAACATCTTTGAACAAAGATTTGATAAGAAAAAAGAATAATACATAATAAAAATGACTTAATCTAAATATATACCCCTAAAATACTAACGAATAAACTCAATGTTTTTTTTATTACATATGTCCTGACGTTTGGCATCTCTTTTGTGCCACCAGCTTACTGATATCAGGCTGAAATGAT